ACTAGAGATGCACGACCATACCGTCTCGAAATAAAGCAGGGGATCAAGATAATTGGATACGCTTGTTCCACGCGACCTGCGGTTCGCAATGCGACCAGCATCTGTTGAGCATCTACCTCTTGTTTCAATAGAGAGATGAAATCCAAGAGGTCCCCTCAACGGAAACTTGACTACTCCAACACTGTCAAGACCAGAAACAAAATCCGAATCTTTCAAGTGTCATGCTCATCGCTATATTTCACAATCAAGGAGTTAATGAACTTGAATTCATCCGAGTTTATTCTGTCCATGGCAATTCGCAACTTAGCGCATATTTGCTGCAGTGTACCCTCGTCTATCACGAACAAGCTGCGGAATAGCTCTCGACCTGCCAGTCTGACGAGGCATTCACTGCCATTGCCGAGTCGATTGCATAATCGAGAATCCTCAATACAAGTTGCTAGATTCATAATAGCTTCCACTGATAGCCATTGAACTCGAGAAATATGATCGGCCAGCCGCCTCTGGAGTGACTCTGAAGCACTCGTTGAGATCCCACTCAGTAAACTGATGAAAGAATATCACTTAGCGACTGCTGAGGGAATCACCTGAGACACTGGATGAGCGCCGGCGGGCTCAAGGCGCCGATATCCTCGTCCACAACTCTTCTATTCAGCACCTCCAAAAGCTCGGCCGCCTCCAGTTTAGTTGTGGAGAGAAGAACGCATAGGTTTTCCAGGGCGAACCCATCGAAGCAAAGACGATCTTCCGCAGTAATGATATCCTTTAATTTCCACTCGATCCAGCGACGCATGGCCTCAGTGTCTTCCTCTTGTAAGGCTTGGTTGAGCCTCCAAAGCGCCGTGTAGAAAGCGAAGATCTCCCTTGCCAATTCGGCCATCTCCGTACATTCCAAGCGCTTCAACTGCCAGAAGAATCCCTTCAACAAGTCGCTACTGGATTCGTGGGCTCCTATTGTAGCCAGGTGAGATGTGGAGTGTGTCAATACCCAAAACGGCACCTGTGGATATAATAGAACTTGCCATGGCCATTCACAACCTGCAAGCTACTTGATTCATATAGTCCGATAAGATGTTGACGGAAACGTTCAGGACAGCATGGCCACTTCCGCCCGTGACAGCGTAGGCATGAAGGAAGACGGGCAATCTCGTGAGAGAGTCGGCCAGGTTAGAGTGCTGTCGGCCGTACTCGACTTCCAGTTCTCGGGCTGCTGTATCGAGCACCGCCATTATGAAACCACGGTACCTTCCAAAGAGAGTCCATGAATAAGGGACATGTGTATCCCAGAGGAGGTATCGAAGGAGCGGTACTCACTGTGGTCTGTAGTTCTTCACTGCTGCTACGAGGGGAAGATCCATACGCTTCCACTGATTACTATGCCTTCGTTTGAGCCGGTCGAATGCCTTCTCTAGGAACTTGTCACGGGCCGCACACAGCTCCACATCTTGCAGAACACCCACTGGGGTCGAGATAAACCCTACCGAATGCCTGAAGACCACATGTAGAAGCATATGTATGAACAATGGCGCTCACACAAGGCCTGGGAGGTCGGTAATCTCGGACATGTGTTCCTCAAGGTATGCCAGCATGTCCAGACACATCGCTGGATCTGGAGTCGATCCCTCATCACGATAGGACCCCACAAGAGCCCTTAGCACTCGAGCTACCTCATTGGGGTCTCGCCAAGACCTCCACGATTTGCCCACCTGCAAACTTCAGTGAGTGACAGCCCTAGTTGTGCAGAATCCTACCATAGAGTTAGCTTCCTGCAACTTGGGTCGCCCATGAAGGCCGTTCGTGATGCCACCCGCCCTCAGCTGTTGTACGAGTTTTTCCGAATCCTTCCCGACGCCTGTCGCTCGAGTTACCCGTTTAACAGACGCAGCATGCCGGAGGAGTCGACCAACTCTCATTTGAAACTCGTCAAGTGGAGCGAACTGATGGCGCAATATCGTACGAACCGGCTCCCACAACACCCCACAGTGCAGCAAACTGCAACATCTATATAGAATAGCACAATGCCCAACTCGTATCACTAGCGACATAGGATTTCGCCATAACAATAGTGATCTGAAGTTCAGACTTTGAACCAGTACACCTTCTGCTTACTACTGGCTGACACAATGACCACACTTCTTGAGCCCGCACGAACAACCCCATCGGTGACTAGGTTCCCCAAGACAAACTCGTAAACACAACAGAAGTCTCGATATGGAGAGAAGCGCGAATAGCTCCAATTCTGCCATAAAACGTACAAACCGATTGATAAACGACAACTAAGGTAGCAAGAAGAGCAAGACCAATGGGAGCAAGGAAATTACCACCCACGAGTAAATGACGAAGGAGATTCTCCAAGGAACAATCCTTCACCACCCTACCAAAAGATCAGATAATTATTATGATCGATACAACGGTATCTTGTCGTCATCACATGGCACTAATTACTACACACTGATACAACACATTTAGCGCACGCACTTACGTGCTGATCGTGATGATGATGATAATGATGTTGACCAACTATTACAAATATCAAGTATTAGCACGGAATAGGCAGTAGCCTAGTGGATCCTCGGTTTCATAGACAATTTCCCACAATGGAGACACTAACATGCTTGCAACAACTCAGCAGCTCACAAAATGTAAGTACACCTGTAGGAATCTGGAGAAAACCGGCATAAAAATTACTCAGCCTCTCGAGACAATACCACGACTAGTGATACTGAGAGAAGCTATTGACTAGACGTATTACGACTCAAACAGAGGAGAAGAGCACAGTAATAGTAATCATAAAAAGAGGGACTAACTAGCCTTATTAACTCAGCCCGCTGAATGCACTTACTGGCATTATCAGACAATAATATGGCAGTTCAATGAACTAGAGTCCGCAGACTACTCGGTGTCCGAACGGACAACATCACTCGGAGTGCTGCTATTATGTGAGTGATTGGACAATGATGATAACGACGAGATCCGATTACCAACATCATCATAAAACTCTCCTTCTTCGTGTTGCTGCTGCTGCACTTTAGTAGTAGTAGCAGGGGCCTGATCAGCAGGTCTCACGAACGGCCTGACCTCGATAGGCCATCCTCTCACAATATGCACACCATCAACATCTAAGACGCGGCGGACTTCCTCAGGGGTGGACATCACCACAAAGCCCATAGAGCTCGGTCGTGGGCCACGAATGATACCGCCAGGGCCCGGACGAGGCTTGGCCCGCATAGGTAGTAGCACAACATCACGTACATGACCATATTTAGAGAAGTACTCCCTTAGAATATGCCTAGCCTTGAAGCCCAACTTGTGCACCTTCCGCACAGTAAACACCCTCTTCTCATCAGCTTCGGTCTTAACCTGCAACGCTTCTAGTAAGTTCATCTTCGGTGGAGTCGTTGGTGACACCGGTTGGTGATAGCTCAAAGCACCAGAGCTCGATCTCCGTTGCTGCTGTGGCGCATCCCAGCTACCACTGTAGCCACCATGAGAAGCGCCTAAATGTGACGACAAGCCATAATAACGAGAGGGAGCCGACACTTGATGTTCCAACAGCCCTGGAGGTGGTGGAGCTACCTCGGACATGCTAGCGTCGTCAGGCAACAACGTATCAACAGCAGCAGTCATCGCCCGAGATCTCGATGAAAGCACACCATAGCTTGGTGACGATGAACCAACACCGTTGTTCAAGGCAGCAGCGTAACTAATGCTACCATGCCGACTGTTAGTAGGGTTAGAGCCGACACTACTAAGGGTGCGAATTCTCAAACGCATCACTTCATTCTCGAGCTCGAGCTGCCTTCTTTTCTCCCGTTCTTCTTCAAGCTCCTTCTGAGCGTCCACGAAGGCAGAAAGGACTTTACCCATCATATCATCAACCACCTCTCCAGAGGAGTCACCAGCGGTCGAACCACCGAAATCACCAGAGCAATGAGGCTCAGCGACAGCGCCGTTGTTAAAGTTGTCAGCATAGGAGAATTCACCATCAGCTGAAAAACCACGACCACGATCATCATGGTAGTCCTCAAAAACGCTGTCACTGAGTGCAGACAAATCTAAACTAGGGTGATGTAGGGCAGGTACTCCACCGACGGGACCGTCATTGTCACTCTCGGGCTCACCGGAAACGCCGTCCAAGTAGTCCAAGGAAGGCAGCAATCGGTTAAGGACGTCGTTGAGCTCTTCATGGTTCACGACATTGTCGAAATGCATAGCGTCATCATCATAGTTATCAAAGTTAACATGTCGTGGTGAAGAACTGTTAGCTGTCGAAGCAACCGTAGGAGACACGAAGCTCTTTGGCTCTCGATAGGTCTTCGGAGGGGTAGAGTGATGGAGTCTAGACTCGTCGAGGGAATTATTCAATACGGACGGGCCAGTAGTTACTGTCGCAGCATTATCAACCATCATTTAAAGTATGGACACGGTTATGTGTAAGTGTATATAAAACTACCAAAAAACGACCGTCAAAACCCAATCAGTTCAAGAATTTTTGAAGCGAAATTTCGAACCAACACACAACTTTAAGAAAGACAGGAAATAGTTTTCTAGCGCAAAGCGCCGCGACTGCATCTTCGAGCTAGAACCACACCACTGTCACAAGTTCAGCCAAGTTCGAAGTGTTGTCTCCATTGAACAAGCTATATGTACCCTGTGGAAGCTGACGAGTTAACCGCTATGAAAATCCGTTTTATTCGCGTTGAAGGTCGACACTCAGTACCGACATTTTGTGGATCTTGCTCGTGTGATTTTCCAAAGACGGCTGAGCGGGCAAGAGCTGCACGCGTGCACAAAGTGATTACATTCACGTCAAATCGCAAATTAGAAAAACAACGTGTTGGTTACTAACTCGAAAAAAATAACGTTCAGATGCGGGCATATTTCTTACTAACGCAGTTGATTCACCTTATCGATCAGGAGTGCGGTGACCAGTGCTTCAAGTTCATTGGTTTTCACCCTCCCGAGCTGCCGATAAGCTGTACTGTGTATTCGCCCTAATTTGTACCAAGCCGGGCTGATCTTCGGAATATTCTGGCTTTCCGAAATTTCCCGTTACTCACGCTTGGATAGGGTTAAGGTACGGACATTCATAAAGCGGTGATACGGCTCGTTTGGATGTGAGAATTCACGGGCCGTAGACTGTTTTGTCCCAGCGACCGAATTCACTGTGGAAATATACATAAAGTTCGTTATAGTAGTCTGGTACTAGGAGATCCCACGCGATGTTTATTCATGTGATTCAGTCGATGGAGGGTTAATCGGACGGAATGTGGGAAGTCATGAAGTTGAGCGGGTTCAATTAAACCGACAGAATGTTCCCGCGAGGAATTACTCTCATCGGAAGACTGATATAGTCACTGCCAGCTGATACCCGAGCCGTTTGAGTACCGTGAGGCAACTCTGGACTTGTTACCGTCCCGCTATCGACCGTGTCGATGAGAGAAACGTGTGGTGACCGGCAACACGAGATTTCAATGGCTCCTCGGAAAGTGACAGCTACGCCTCTTGGAATAACAATCATAATTGTCTCGAGCGCTCTTAAGAGCCTCACTGCAAGCAGAAACGTTGATGAGGCCCCGGAACAGATGTAAAGTCTCTGGTATGTTCACAATAGCGACAATATAACAAGGTGACAATGGTTATATGCGAGAATAACAAGCAAGCGGTGAATCGTTCATCTATCGATGGAGCTTGATGAAGACCTACGTTTCTTACGGTTTCCTGTTGACGAAGTAACGAATGACATTCTAACTACTGAATCAACACGGTAATGTTGCTAACGAGTATGCTGGATCATTCGTCCATGTTTTCATAACACCAAGTTACAGTATGATACAGAATCGTACTTCATGCTACATTTCAGCGCATGACATCTTGGCAGACCATTCCGACAGTTTCGTTGCCCATCGTATAGCAATTACCACCGTGCCATGTGGCGTTCTTCTCGCCTATCCACTTGAAGTCGAAGGAGAACGTCATACCAGCGTTGGAGTATTGAAGGTCTATATAGTGTGTCATGAGGCAGATTTGCATGGCGAGAAATGGCCAGAAAAACTGATAGCTGAGCCGTAGAGCAATAAATACGACTGATTCATTCAACCATCGTTTCATAACTATGATGAGCAGTACAAAAAGAGACCCCTCGGCCACGATGTCGATCAATAATCTTCGAATGCCACGCATGAACTCTTCGTCTGTCATATTCCAGAATGTGTCGTGGAGCTTGGGATTGGAGTAACGCAGTAGAAGCGAACAAATCAGGTATTGTATGGGAGCCAAGATCTCAACAACTTCTTTGCAGATAGCGACAGTCATGATTGAAAGAGTACACCCCGAGGCACCATCCTTCATGTCAGCCATTGTTTCCATGTTCACGCCGGTCAGCATGTCCCCAAGTATTTCGAAAACACTGCTCCGACGGGAGGACACATTGGAGCCTCGCCTTCCTCTCGCTTGGCCGTCAATGATATCAGCAGCATCAGACGACACGCTATTTCTATGAGAAGGAATCGACCTTCTTCCCGGGTCCGCAACCACTAACCCTTGAGGAACAAGGAGGCTTGATGGTCTTGCACGAGGAGGCGACATGATCCTCTCCAAGTCACGATCAACTACCGCACCACATTCACCAGTAGCAAGATGATCGGCTGCCGTGTATTGCGCTCGATCACGATCTCTCATAGGACAATCATGTTCGGGAACGTCTACGCCGTCCTGCTCAGGCAAACGCAGATGACCAGAAATACTGGGAGGTCTTTCTACGACATCGGCACAGATGCCGGTATGTTCGGAATGATCACTCAGCTGACACGAATATACGCCCAGTTTCAGAAACTGACCGTCGCTGTTCTCATCAGCCGTCTTGGCGCCGGTGGAGCTATCAGAAGGACGCTTCGGGATCACGAGTGTCGAAGACTTCGGATCAGAATCATTCGATTTCTCTGCAGTGCCACCTAATCTCAGTGACCCAGCGGGGTCACCTGTGGTGGGTAGACATATATCGACCACTTCATTCAGCGAAACCTGGTTTATAGCCTGATAACTACAGTAAAGATAGTAGAGGTTCTCCGTCAGATCTAATGCAATCATCAACATGGCCAGCCAGATCTCACTGACAGCGCTAATGACGGAGGATATGAAGAACTCATAAGCATACATCGCGAATAGCACGATCATAGGATAGCAATCGACGCAGTACAGTCTTGCGTAGTATTTGGCAACTTTCTCGAAGACTATACGGAATAAGTAGAATGAGAGGAAAATCCAGAACTTTAAAAATCCATCAAGTTGCAGAGCAGTATAGTAGAGTAGAGGATAGCTGATGCCGAAGACAGCAACACAGCTTCCGATCGATACCAATACCATCGCGATTCTCTTCCTAGACCCCAGTGAGCGCTTATCCTTCGGAAGGTTCTGGTAGATAATCCCAACTATCGCTAATAGTGTAAGACAACCAATGATAGGCATCCACGGTAGAGGCCAGTAAGGAGTGAACGCTGGGATTATACCGAGCCAAAATAGCTGCCAGGTACCCGCGATGAAACCAATTTTGAAGTACTTCCATACACGGCGTTCACCCCAAACGTCGGAGAGGAAGCTATTACTCCACGGAGCGAACATAAAAGAGCATTGGAACCCTAGCAGAAATAGTATAGGTAACCATTGCCATACGGGGACATCAGTAGGGCCCGAGATTGGTATAATAAATGCTATTAGTGAGACAAGCGGAGCGAAGCAGACGATGAATGCCGTCTGATAGAGCTCAACGTGTGGTACCTAACACACGATAGGATAGAGGAGGTTGAAGCCTGCTGAATAGCTCGTAACGTGGTTATGCTCTCTGCAGTAACCGAAACTTAGCTACGTAGGGCCACTGGATCGAGAATGATCTCAGTCCAGTACATAGGAGCGATCTCCGCCCACCATCTACCATGCCCAGCATAGCACATGTCATAAGCGAAGAGGCAATATTCGGAAATAATCGATCCCTCATCGAAATCCGACTTGGAGCTCACCGAATCTCTTCGTAAGGCTCCAGAGAGTTCTTGTGAAAACTCTGGAAAGTCAGTGAGGCAATTTCGTGCGGCTTCCAAAGCTTCGGTCACTTTCTCCCAAGCGGCTTCCGCGGTCTCGAGAAAGAATAAGCGGCGTCTCGCCTGAGAGGAGTTGAGGCTCGGCAGTCGGCGATGGTCAGCCATCCAACGGCCCCCATTATTGCAGTTAGGACTCAGAACCGAGCTGGGAGAGAGTACCACTCGACTGCTGGAAATTCCTACCCTCACCCGTGATCCGGGTAGCTCCAAAACGGGTGGCAAAAACTCCCGCACCGAGGATTCCGATCGTGTACCGAACGTGGTCCCCCTGATAGAGAAAGTTGATGATAATCGTGAAAGCGGCAATCTTAGAGAGCCCATGAAGCGATTGGACGGGCTGACGCCCCGGAACGGGATGCTTACGTAATCTGGCCTGGGCAAATATCATCATTGTCGTTAGTAGTAGGCAGATTGATGGAACTCATATTGAGTACTAAGAACAAGCCTGCAGTCGACGACGAACCACTGCATTCACCTGTCATCGGCCTGCATCACGGACGGGAATCGTACCGGGATGCGGAGCCGTGGACAGACCATATGGTGACCAGCCCCGCCGTGCAACAAGAAGGGGACTGGCCTAATATTGATATTTTACAGCAGGCAGATTTGGCAGCGGTTTATCAGGTAAGAACTTGCACTCAGCCGCTCGATCATTTCATTTTCCCGGGCGGTATCACAGATGTACAGAGTCGCTGTCGCCCAAGTGGACATTGAGCTCGAAATGGGTTTCCACACAACCGCGGCTTCGCTCGAACTACGGCACACATCTAGGTCACGTTCCTCTACGACGTGCATTTCACCCGCTGCTTGAAATTGAGTAATGTCACTCGACTTGAAATCCGGTGACTCACGCAACGAAGTACATGTTGCGAGTTTCGTGCTAGTGACAAGATCTGATAATATCTTGCGGTACTCACTAGGGCAACGCAACCTTAGCGTAGTACAACTGACAAGTCATGCATATCAATGGCATCTTCTTCATTCAAGATAACATGCTATCATCGTCGCAGCAATCAGCAGGAATCGCATTCTTGAATTCTTCGTTCCAACTAGCTTCCGTGGAGTATCAGCAAACCTCCTCGATGGTCTCATTCCCAACAGTATAGCAGTTGCCACCATGCCATGTTGCGTTCTTTTCACCAATCCACATGAAGTCGAACGGAACCGTCATGCCAGCATTCGTATATTGAAGGACTATATAATACGTCATCAGAGCCATCTGTGAAGTAAGGAAAGGCCAAAAGAAGCGATACATTAGTCTTAGAAAAATAGATATGATAGATTCATGGTACCATCGCTTCATGAAGGTGATAAGTAATATGAAGACACCAACTTCGGCTACGATATCGATTAACAGCCTACGGATCCCACGCATGAACTCCTCGTCTGTCATATCCCAGAAGGCGTCGTGGAGCTTGGGATTTAGGGAACGTAGAACAACGAAGCAGACTAGATAATGCACAGGAGCGAGGATCTCAACAACTTCCTTGCAGATTGCAATTGTCATGATGGAGAGTGGTCGCCTGATGCTCTCATCTGTCTGAATTATCTCATCATCGCCCATGTTGGTATTGGAGTTCTCAACGATACCGACTGGATCGCTCTTGCTCGAGAACAACGACATTCCACCATGAGAGCCGCTATTAGTTGTTGTCTTCGCGCCATTATTATCGGTAGGCTCTCCTTCCTGAAGCTCAGATTTGGGCAAATTAGTGAAAGAAGACAGCGTGCTCATACTAGAGCCTCGGCGTGGAATGCTACGACGATCCACAGTGACTGGAAGCTCGGCTGAAACCTGCTGTTCCAAGCCGGGAAAGTTAGAACCACTAGTAAGCTCCAGATTCCCAGCCACACTCCCGTCTGTAGATGGTACTATCCGCGAGAAGCTTAGACCATCCTCTTTGACACCACCAACTGCGGAAAGGGTACTGGGATCGGCAATCACGAGAGGTAGCTCCGGCGGCCACGCATCCCTGGGTTGTTTCGAATCGTCTTTCTCTATGTTCTGTGCATCGGATTCTCGGACTTCGAGGGAAGCTGGTCCGTCCGGAGTGTCCTTCCCAATGTCTCCTGGACCAGAAGATCTTCTTACATAGCTACAATAAATATAATATAGGTTTTCGCCAAGGTCCAAAGCGATCAGCAACATGGCCAGCCAGATCTGGGTAACGGAACTGATGACGGAAGCAACGAAGAATTCATAAGCATACATCGCAAATAAAATTATTATAGGATAACAATCAATGCAGTATAACTTGGCATAATGCTTGGCTATTCTCTCAAATCCCGCTCTAAGGAGGAAAAACGATAGAAAAATACACATCTTAAAGAAGCCGTCGTAATTGAGCGACAAATAGTACAGAAGTGGACAGCCAATGGCGAAAATGAAGATGCAATTGCCGATGGTGAAGAACATCATAGTCATATCCTTCCTGGATGCGGCGGAGCGCCTATCCTTCGGGAGCTCATAGTAGACCATAACAACTCCGACCGAAAGTGTTAGGCCGCCAATCACTGGCATCCAGGGTAGAGGCCAATAGGGAGTGAAGGCCGGTACGATACCAAGCCAGAATAGCTGCCAGACACCCGCCATGAGACCTATCTTGAAGTACTTCGCTACACGGCGATCACCCCAAACGTCAGACAGGAAAGTATTAGCCCATGGAGCGAATATGAAGGAGCACTGGATTACAATAAAAAAAAGTACGGGTAGCCACTGCCATACAGGCAAATCCATAGGCCCGGATATCGGCATTGCAAACGTAATAAGGCAGCCAAGCGGGGCGAAGCAGGCCGCGAACGCCGTTGAGTAAAGCTTGAAGGGGGGTATCTTGATTAGGAAAGAAGGCTCCATCCGGGACACGGAGAGCAGAATTTCATAGCGCGTTGAATACCCACCGTGTCACCACGAAGGAATCCAACGAGTTCTGGAGAGTACTCGGGGAAACCTGTGAAGCGCTCGCGAGCGGCAGTCAGAGCCGCAGTCAATTTTTGTGAATATGTTCTACTGCCGTTAGTCGAAGAAGAACGCCTCTGGGGAAGAACCTGAGCTTCAAGCTGAGGCCGGATGATTCATTAAACGCGACTGAGCGTCGCAAGAATGTGATAGTCGATTCGACATACGTTATTCTCTGGTGCAATGGAAGTCTCTAGATGCAGGGACGTGCAGCTTTGTGCAGGCGGCACTTTACCCGAATCAGTCACGAGATCAACACGATCCTTCGACGTCGGTCTAAAAGAATATTTCGTTGATGATTCCGAGAGTGAAGGTTTGAAACTTACGAGGCCAAGGATAGGCCGCCCTCCGGCTCGGGATCAGCAGCTCGGTTGCTCATATAATTTCAAGAACAGGGTCTAATTATTAGTCTATTACACTTTAATAAGACACCAACAATAAGTTCCCCATTGCGACTCGTTTTCCAGGATCGGGCAGTAATTGCTTGTTGGTCAACCATTATAGACAATTCGACGGATTTCGCCGGATGGAATGAGTGCCTTCGCGATCTCTGATGTTAGGAACTCCAAGGTCGCCCATTGACGAGCTTTTCAACACCCGCAAAGCGCCGAAGAATATCACACATAAGCGCTATGGAAGAGAGACATGTGGTCATGCAATTCATAGGACGTAAGAGAGACATTGTCTCCGAGACGGATGCTAACCGAGGCGCGATGTCTCATATCGCTACTAGCAAGGAAGAATATCGCTTGGCTCATGTTTAATCGAAATGCGATGAAATTTCCTCATACCTAGGATGTGAACATACCATCCATCGGGTAGTTTTCGATGAATTCATTGGCAGCTTCCATGATGCAACAGAAACCCATGGTGGTTTACCCACAACTAACTGAGTCTCTGGAACCAATCATCAAGGACTCGACGAGCACTCAAAATACCATGCAGGTGTTGGAGACCGTGTTGATGCGATAGATACGAGCTGCGCTACGATTTACCAACAGTTATAAAATGGCAGGCAAAACCACTAAGAACAGCATCCATTATTGAGCCTATCCGATAAGAAAACGTACTCATCTACTACACTCCTGGAAAATGAAAATATCATATAATGGAATCCATACTGACATTCTGAGAACTCTCATCCATGTCGAGGTTAGAATAGAATCTACATGAGAATCAGATCCATGGATCGCAACTATGCTTTTTATCTCCTCGAGGAAGTTCCATCGTTATTAATCTCATGATTCCTATCTGAGATTTCTCATTCGACTCCTACCATAGGAGGGACTCGAAAGCCGACCTCACGCCAGGTCGACAAGTTCGAGGAGTGCAATGGCCTTATCCACTATATTCAAGCCCGTAAGAAACGCGCCAACGCCCTCCCATCCCCCATCTACAAAAGCGTTGGGGGAACTCCTCGCAGCACCGATTCTATTGTGGTGAATGACATGAGCTTTGTAAAGAGAGACTACATCCCAAATACGGGTGCCCAGTGGGACTTCATACCTCATGTCATGAACGAGGCGGGCAGAGGAGAATACACCTGATAAAAAGGATCCATACTTCGCTCTGAGTCGTATCATTCTCCACGGACAGGACGGCCATTCCACTACAGGGTATGCCTCGGTAGCAACATTTACGCAGACGCGCGGTGTACGGTGTAATACAATCCGGCAATCGCAACTTTTTGCTAATATTGCGGATTTGCCAAATGCTATAATTTCTGACAGTCTCACTTTTTTGCTCTTTTGTATGTTCTGCTTTCTCAGTTACAAAGTAATGCAATTTGAAGTAATTACAAGTAATTTGCTCCTTTGCTATTTTGTAACTGAGCCGTGTACGGTGTAGGACGATCAATATCTTCGGTACCGAAGAACGACTCAACTTTCGACGCATTGATCGAGGACCGGTTTCGTTTAGCGATGTCGATTCCTTCCGGAGGGAATTTACCACTTCGGGACTGACTCATATTTTCAGTGGGAAGCTGAGCTGCTGTTGCTTAGATCGACCGCTTCGATTGCTTACATGATAGATCGCACTCGGGTCTACTCTGGTGCCGCGCTCATGTTGTCGTGACCCGGAAAAACTGGTTATAATGAGGCGTACCATAGATGTCACCCCAGAGAGGCTTAAGGTGACCATACTGAATTAGTCTCATCCAGATCTGCTCACTCGCTTGCCATGAGTCCAGCTTAGACAGTAGCTATCAACACAAGTATTGTTCCTTCTCCTTCACTGTGCCCACGTAATAAAGATTCATATGAGATTGTTCAACAAAACGGATCACAGCGGAAAGACAATCAAAGACCAGATGCTTCACATCAATAGTTATTAACAACTCAACAGCGATCCTATACACGTTGTTATCATTTACGACGATATTGATGTAGAAAACGAGTTGAGATACCATTTACTATCAGTTATCAAATGACAAGTTAAGGGCAGAAGAAACAGCAACCACTACAACTCATCTGATAAGAAAAATAATAATCTGCGACAGCATCGTCAAAAATAGAAGGGAACTATCATATCATGGAACTCGTTCTAATATTCTAGCAAGCCTCAGCCATGTCAAGGATGGAATGGAATTCATCGTGAGCATCAGGTCTGAGAGCCTTCACCCTACTCTTGATCTCATCGAGGAAGTTCCAAGCCAATACAACCACAGTGAGATCAGACTTCTCACTCTGCAGAGCTGTCTTAGGATCATAAACCATCAAGCCCTTGACACCAGGGACCTGAAGGCCAGCTTTCCTCGGGTTATCATCAACAACGTAAGCCAGTTCATTACTGACACCGGCGAAGTTGAGAAGCACAACGGCCTTAGCCGCAGCACCGTAGGCGACGACCTTGCGACCTTCCATCCACCACTCACGAAGGCGTCGAAGGAACCCTTCTGCTCTACTCTTTGCGAAGTCAGCGAAATACTCATAGGCGCCCATGCTGTAGATACCTCTGGCGTCTTCCTTCGCGAGCTCACTCCTAACCGAATCCTCGACTAATTCAATCCTGACACCTTTCCTCAGACAGAAGATATAAGAAGTACCATGGATCCCGGGTTTAGTCACCCGTACGACAGTGAAGTTACATCGCTCCGCCAAGACAACCATCGACTTCGTAGAGAAGAAGGATTGATGCTCGTGATAGATCGTATCAAATTCTCCATTAGCAACAATATCGGCCTGACTAGTCTGTATGTAGAGCCTCGACTCGTCGTTCATAACCTCCGCACAGGCTTCCAAGAACTCAGCTGGCTTAGCAACGTGAGCGAAGACATTCTGCGCGGTGACAGCATCGACTAAACCAATCTGTCTAGCAACTTGAGGCGACCAATAATCACAGATAGCACGATGGCCCTTCTTGATAGTCACCTCACCCATAAGATTCACAGCTGGATCAACACCAACAGTCTTCCATCCGACTTGCTTGAAGTAGTCGAGTAAAGTTCCGTCATTACAGCCAACGTCGAGAACAACACCAGTCTTGCCAACATCCTTCGTAACCATATCAGCGAACCACTCCGAGTACTTAGCCAAGGTAGTAGAAGTACCCGACACGTAGACATAGTCACGGAAGAGGATATCAGGATTGACGATATGAGCCAACTGGAGATGCCAACAATGCTCGCAGACCTTCACTTGGAGAGGGAACGACTTCACACCCTCTACATCAACAGGATGGAAGCTGTTAGCAGGCGGCTGCCTACCCAAGTCGAGTACAAGCTTCAGACCAGACTGACCACAGCAACGGCATTCAGTGACCTCGGTACACTCAAAGGCCTTGGCAGTCCTAATTTCAGTGTATCGATCAGCAAGCCGGGGTCTAGCTAAGACAATGTCTTCCCAGTTGTCCCTGATTTCCTGGCAGATGCTCTCAGCGGTGGCGACAAACTTGAACGAAGGAATGGCTTTGAGGAACTTGTCAGTCGAAACGCAGAAGTCGTAAGTCGTCTTAGTGAACTTCTCGTTGCCTTGAGTACCCGGAACCAACTGCTCACGCACGAGAGGGACGTTGAAGAAGTCAGACACCTTCTTACCAAATTCATAAACTGTATGTTGAACACTCGCGAGGTTGTAGAGACCAGGTTCAGGACGGTGCTCAATGAGAGCTTCAACAGCTCGGCAAAGATCTTCAAGAGCCAACACTGGCCGATGCACATGCTCCACAAAGATACCAACCTTCTTACGAGTGAGAGCGGAATATGCCATAGCATTCACCATAACGTCACTGCGAAGATTCAGCGACCATCCGCACACAGTTCCCATACGGACACCATAAATCTTGTCCTTAGAGCCTCTATGGCTGATATAATACTGGGCTACCAGATCCATAGACTTCTTGCAGATATCATAATAGTTATGGCCCTTGTATTCGCTGTACTCCTCATTGACCATACCAGTAGTGTCACCGTACACACTAGAACTACTTGCATAAATCACAACTTGACCTTCCGGACGCTTAGCACTTAGAAAGCGCGACAAGTTATAGACGCTATTCGAAATAGAACCAAAAGCATCCGAACAGGAGCGGACAGACGGATTGCCAGCCATAAGAATAGCAACATCTTTGTCTTGGTTCTGAGCCTCATAATCACAGTCATCCCTGCTCGCATACACTATCTCCTCAATGCCAGCCTCCTTCAGAGCAACCAAGATCTGCGAATTGTCATGATCAACCACAGTAACATGACAACCAATATGATGCATATACAGGGCAAGACGACTTCCAATGAAGCCAGCACCACCATAGATGATAACTCTCAATCCCTTAGAGGGCGCAGGCTTAGAGAGGGCGGCCAGCATATCCGAGAGACCTCAGAAACCAATATTAAACTGAAAGTGAATAAGTATCTGAGCGTTACGATCTCATTCGAGGGCATTGATAACTTAACGATAGCATGCAACTACATACTGGTCAAACCTCGCTGGGAACTCCTGATTTTATGGGAATGTACGATGTACACAGTCAAGGAAGTTGCTTCAAACGACACCACAATTGAACACTTCTCTCCCGACACGCACCGCGCTAGATTCATCGGCGCGCCAGAGCGACATGCACACAATGGCGACTCACGCGCTAGAAAAATTATCAAGATTCTTGAGTTGCCAACTCCATGTTCCAGCGCTTACTCACTTCCATTCACTGCGAACACACGATAAGGAAAGTGGTCGCGATAGGGACGCGAATTAACGAACATTCGTCTATTCGGGACTAGATTGGAAACGTGCTGCCTTGTTATGACGAAGAATGGAAGCGCGAACACCACTTCGCTTTAGTACAGGAACCAATTCAATGGATCATTCGTCACGGAATTAAGACTTCTCAGTGATCTGAAACGAAGTGATCCATGAAAACCAGTCTATCTAACCGCTTGTGATATCCATGTAGTTCGCCACTCCGAGCATGTACTGAACACGGAACGATTTGCCACAATCAACTAGCAATGCTAGTCTAGCATCTACTATAGACATCATGAGAACAACTCTGTATCGAAACCAGTATTCCATGCTTTGGTGGTGGTCTCGTAATCATTCTACTATCCTTTCGGAAAAGGGAACTATTTACCCCAACGAAGATGAGGATATTCAGTTCAATGAAGCACTGATATTCGTATCCATGTGGATAACTGCGACCCGGGTAAGAATGAAATGTGGCTGACGACGCTGGAGTCGACAACGAGTGACCATCTACTGCTTCCAGTCTGTCTCGGCTGCAGTCAAAGGCTTGTCTCTCAAGGTGTGAGCACAACCGATCTCGGGGATCTATCGTCGCCGCATACTGCCGATGGGAACTCGAGAAGGCCTGTCTCTGTCGAATCGGAGCTCGACCGCACAGGATGCTCGAACGCTCCTTGGGGTATCACTTCCAGTAACTGCGACAGATCCCATCGAGTAATCGAGACAATGAGTGAACGTTCTACCTGCGAATCTAGCAGCACATTCGCCTCGGAGTTTCGACTCGAAACTTTCGAGGGCATAAACCCATTCGCATCAGGGAATAATCCCAATGTCGACTTATATCACCCAAAGACGACTAACCGATCTTCACGATACTGTGAATCACTCGGACAGATGTGCGGATTTCGGCATGAAGATTAGAATCTCCAAAGCAGCAAGAACATGAGGCTGACTGTGCTATTGTGGCATTTGAGTATTGTTCTGCAGTCTCTCTAGCGCTAGTTGCATGACGTATCAGTCGTCGCTGTATTACTGTAATCGCGATCTGCTACGTTTGCTGACCGTCGTACTTCTCTGCTACGATATCAGGTGGTTATTGGGTGTTCTGCTCACTTGACGAAATCTGCACAGACCCTGTGCAGATGTCGCCAAGTGGGCAGACTCTGTGCCACAGAGTCAGAGCGAGCGAGCCATCGCGTGACGCGCCAAGTCCATGTTAACTGGCCATCGACAAGAAGTTGTCACAATGTGTTGAGTTGCTGGATTGGGGAGATGCTGCCTTTCACCAACTCCATGTAGGTTTTCATATCCCCTAGCTCTAGTCACGTGGGGTAGAGTTATATGCTCGTAGCAGTTGATGACACCTTATCGAGGACGAAGGATTGCACAGTAACGAGACTTCTTGCCTACTGTCGATACCTAAGTACAGACCAATAACATACATTCGATCCGGATATGATGGCAGTCTACATCCCTTTAGAGATGTTGTGGACGACCAGAGGGAAACTCAAGGATGAACCACTGCAGGTATGCTCATGCTCATGCTAAGCAATCACAATGACTTTGACGAAAGCCCGTTCAACTATTCCTGACCTGGTCAGGCTCGATGGGGTGTAAAAAATCTTCTGGACCAGAAGATCCACCAGAAGGTGAATTGTGCAGCAGAAGTCAGTACTAACAGGGAAGGGTCGATCCCCTATCGCGACTCTCCTGGGAACCTAGAGTACGTACAGTGTACAGGAGAGATTCATGATGAACCGTCACACAGTCGCAGGACCACTACATCAGCAGATAGCTGACTCCTATGATTTGAGAAACGTGTTCGTAGCACGCAGGTCGCCAGACTACCGATCTACACCCCTCCACAAATTCTTACTATGTCAAGTTTTTCGACTCATGCGTTATCACCCGGACGAGTACGGTGCTGACACTCAGGTAGATATGTTCTCATGTCTCACACGGAATGACCTCTGAGGTTCAGGACTTAACTCTCCGTAGTTGGTGCAAATTCACCTGGAATTCGTTGACAATGTATGAGTCGAAGAGCTGGACATGCTGAGAGTTCATGAAGGAGTGTATACTCGTATGACCTCGTACATTACCCTTAGATGTACGATTATCGTTGCTTGCACTCCGTGGCTTCTCCTCGGGCACTGTTTTCAACTGCTGTAACGATTCCCTCGTCTTTCGGTTTTACGACGTCAATATCAGATACTGAACGGCACAACAAGTCAAAATAGCACCGAACTACGCTGATTCAACGGTCAGCCAAATAGACACCGAAAACCTTGGATTTCTGCAAGCTATATTACCTACCATCCGCCACTCAGCTACCGTGGGAGCTAACAGGGACTGATCCGAGTGATCCTCATGAATGTCATTTGACGATTGCGAAGGGGGATCTGGTCAAACGTCTATGAACGACTTTCGTCAGTCAAACCACTCTAGTACCATCCGCGGCGTCACTTCCATCCACTCTCTCATCGTTGGCCGCCGTGATTGACATGTGCTGTCTTATCGGTCTCCACCACCAACGGAGAGGCAGCAGTGCCAAAACCTCATAGAGTACCATACTATCCATCGATCGCGTTCCTACCTCCCGTCGCACGATCTATAGTAGCCGTGGACAGAGAAGCAGCCAGTGACGATTTCACCTATATAACCTCAAGAAGAACATAAGACGGACTTTTGCGATGAAAGTGCGCAACCAGACTTGCGTTCTTAGCGAAGCGACGCATTGCAGCGGCCTAACCCGACATCCTTGTATACATTCCTGGAAGCGAGGAGGCCATTAGCCGATCGGCGCCGACATCTGTCGACTAGTCAATTTTTGATGCTGGGAAGCGAGGCATGATTCTATCCAGTTGGAGATAGAGGAAGATGTTCCTCGAGTATGGAATCGCGGCCCCGAGGTAGTGGCATAGGGGCCCCGTTTTATAGTAATATCATTGCGATTCCTACAGCGTGGCATAGTAGTCCCGAATTTGTGGCTCATATTGTGGCATAGCGACCCCACACAATGACCCGGACATAGCGACTCAATCAGCGCCATATCTGCATCGAAATCTTAGCGAATTCGTTGGGGAGGTCGGCTCCCATGGGAAAGGCAGGGGGTTCAAACCTCGTTGGTACATATGCTCAGTGAGCATATGTACCAACGAGGGTGGCTCACAGGCATTGCTCACATATGATATACATGTGAGCACGTAGACATGTGGGGAACCGGAGACGCCCTTACAAGTTGTGAGAGCCTGATCGTAGGTTACTATCCTCTAGATTGATTGATGCCGCTTTACTGAACTATGTCCCTCACTCTGTCTGATGAGATATTCTTAAGCCAGAACCTATTCCATACGGGCACACGTGCAGATGGGAGGAGCGCGTTTGAGTTTCGGACAATGGACATCCGGCTAGGCCCAGCGTTGGGTCAGGCTGAATGCTCTATCGGCAAGACTCGAATAAGGGCTGTTGTTACTGGTAGGTGACTCGTGAACCAGTAATTAAGACAGGTTCGGGTTCAGGCCAGCTCACGAGCCCACCGAGCAATCGTCCTAGGGAGGGTCGTCTCAGCATAAACGTAGAAGCAGGCCCAATGGCTGCACCGGCAGTTCTTCCGTCTGGTAACTCGAGTGGTCTCGTTGGGAGCGCCCAAACACCAGAGGGAATATCTCTATGCAATCAACTAGAGCGAATGCTCAAGGGTTCCAAGTGGGTCCACATAGTACCGATATAGTCGAAAGGCTTTTCTCAGCGCAGTGGATGTAGAAGCCCTATGTATCCAGAGTGGTTCCCTGGTGTGGGAACTACGCTTAGATGTGCATGTACTCAGTGACAACGTGAGCCAACACGATTCGTTCATGATTTTTCAGGGTATTTCTCAGGGTAACGTTGGCGACGCGGCCGCCATAGCAAGCATCGTAGCACTACGCCACTACAGACGAGCTGAAGTGTCTGTTGTGAACGGGGAAATCATCTACAAGCCTGATGTACGTCTGATGGGGGAAGCTCTTCGCCGTACAAGTGTTGCTCAGTTAGATCCAATACCGTTGTCGGTGCATCACATGCCAATACCCGTCACTTTCGCCTCAATACCATCATCACTTGGTGAGAATCCACTGTTGCTAGCCGACCCTAGCGGTCTAGAAGAACGTCTTCAAGGTGATGGCGGCCAGTTAGTGGTAGTACCAGCTCTACTCATATTTCAACCAGAATCGACCATAAATTACGGCGCGTAGTAGGTTGTCATGAACCAATATGGAGAACTGTGTGGCGCACTCAAGTCCGGAGGAACATCACTCATGTTGCATAGAGACCTCATACCAGCTATCTGTCTGGCTACGGCTCGAGTGAAAGAAGTCACCGCTCTAATCAATGAGAAGGTAAGCTCATCCAACGCTACTTCAACGAAATATTCCACGTGCTATCTCAGCTAGCCATAGATGAGCATACCCGCTTCGACGTACACAAAGCTGACATCCATCATAAATACGCCTCTTCTGGACTGGCGATTGATTTTGACAATGATATCTCACCGCAAGAGAGACAACATCGACGAAAACGAAGCCTCGCTCATCTGGCAGTAAGCCTGTCGAATTCTTTACTGCATTAGAAACCGCTGTTAAAGATACCTCAACCCATGGAGCTAGACCTTCCCACAGAGCACCGAGCTACTACTGACTCCAGGCCAGCCGGAGACAGTGGTGAGGAGGTACTGCTCGATAATCTTCATAGAGTGATAATCTCACAGAAAAGTTCATCCTTTCAGGAACCCTCTCTGGAACCATCCGAACCGACACCTCCTGATGTCCCCACTGCGACCATGTACAGTACCCAGCAGTCGGATGGTGGTGCCCCTGACGTTGCTGGAGCCATGACGCCGGCACCAACTCTATCAGTGGCAGCATCGGATGATGACGACTTGGATGACCTATCGGCGGCCGTTCTTGTGAAGAAGGCCAAGAAGAAGCGTCGACCTCGGAAGTGATACACTTAGTGACGCAGCTGAGGATTCCAATCTAGCTAGTAAAATGGGGAAGCTCGGAAACAGCCGAGTGAGCATCGAAGAAAGAAATTAATTTTCTGTACAACTCCAGGAATTGTGTTACAGTGCTCTTCTTGTGTTAGGCTAACTCATGGGCAAATCGATCTCGGGACTGTGCCTCTGACGAGCTCGGAGTTAGTACCTCCGATTGCTTCTTCGCAGTCCTGTAACCGATATGAGTACACGGGTGAAAATTTTTGGGAAAAATGGTCGGGACGAATCGTTGGGACTTTCTGACGCGATAAACATCGCTGAGTTTGATTATGCTGAGTACCCGTGCTCTTTCATCAATGTTAGTGCTGGATACCCTCAAACATTGTGGCAAATGACAAGCCTTGTTTTCCAGCCATGATTAACCCATTCGTACCTATCACTGTTCAAGAAGGCAGAGTGTGTCTCTATCGAACGCGACCAGGCCCTATACCTGAAATTCTCATGCATTGGGCATATTATTAACATATTCTTATGATAAGAATAACTCAACACCAGCAGGGGAAAATGGTAACTAGGGTTAGTTGACAAAAACTCTGAATCATATGTGATACCTTCGTGCTCAACTTCACGCGTTAGCGGTATCTAATCGCATTTTCTCCACCCACGCATTCTTGAGGTTAACCTGAGAGAACTACTGATCCAAGGTGTAGCAACTGCTTACATAGTTGGCAGCATTATATTTGACCATCTCCTTCTCATTGTCCTTCAAGTCCCTCAACCTCCTAGCCGGATTGCCTATCCACAGTCCGGGAGTAGCTACCTTCCCAGGGGGTAGTAGTGAGCCAGCTCCCATGATCGTACCCTCTTCCACCTGTCAAACACCATATGGTGGGATCAAAAGCGATAACGATGTCTTTCCTCACCACAGCTCCATCTAGGATGATCGAGCCAATGCCTATTAAAGTGCGTGGCTCAATACGGCAAGCATGGAGAGTTACAGCATGACCTAATGGAAGGATGGTAAACAACGACGAGCAGCATTCCTACCAATGCTGACGTCTTCCCCGATGACGAGCTGCATACCTTCTTGCTTGCCGTAGAACTCTCCACGGACGTGCAACACACAACCGTCCTGAGGAGCATCTACAATATGATGTACCACACGGCCGAGCGAGTGTGAAGTGACATAATGAACAGTTCCTCCTCATGATTTTCTAATCACCACGACTCGCCGCGAGTGGTATTTTTGAGCATAGTTTTCAATTATTGCACGATAGTTTAGCACTCAGGAAAGTTTGAACTCTGATACTATCATCATAATCGAGGGCACTTGTGAACGAAAAAACGAATGAACCACTATACTATTTGCACCTATATTTCGTAAGTTGTTATTACTCTCTCTCGACGAGAGAGAGAGAGTAATACACACACTCCCCAACGCTTCAATGAAGTTCTAGCCGAGCACAGCGATAAAGCTACTGTGAAGTCTAACCGAGTAAGAAGCCACTACCTGAATGTTGGTGCGGTCACCAATGACAATAGTATCAACATCAGCTCGCACAACTGCCATAGGCCATATCGATACGTCCTCTCCAAGTCGAACCTAGTAGAATGAACAGAGGGACTATGGGACTACTATTAACATTTACATCGCCATCAACGACTGCAGCAGGATGGATGAAAGCTGTCTTGGGCACTGTTGGCTTCTTGAACACGTGTGGGAAGGCCGAAAACTGTGAGCCTCCAACGGTGATCAATCGTCTGACGCTCAAAGAGGATAATGCCAACATGGAGTGACAATGAACTGCCACGGTTAGATAACCGAAACGCCGAATCGCCCACTGTATGGTCTACTGTCAACACATATACATTGAAGTGTAAAACTATACAGATAGGCAATAGGTCGCACACTTCACTTAATTGATAGAAAACGCGACCGCAATAGCACAAGGCGAGAGGTTGTATGAATAGGACAGGTAAGCATTCTTAGATGAGGAGAATTATCCAGGCGATGGTTGCATAAAATAGCCACACTGGGAATCTGAGAATATCATAGCATGAGACGAAATTGCATCCAAGGAATTTTACACTCCTAGAGCGCGACGATCCGCTGGGACCAGCTCCGACATGAACCCCACTGAGGCTCCGGTAGACCAGACGAATCCAGCTAGTACCACGAGCAACTATGTAGAAATAACAATGTAATGTAAAGAGATTACTGCTACTCACCTTCAGTATCTGATAGTTCTTAACGAAGTAGCAAACTATTGCTGATAAAACCAGAGGGAAGACGCAATAGCCCAGTACACAGACGGACTGGAAGAATGAAATCTGATACAAAAATAGTAAAATGCCACAAGCACGAAGCGCTACCTTTCCTTTGATGAGGACGCCATTGACAGTAACCACTGCCGAGCCTAGCCACACTATGACGAATATCATAGAGAACACATACCCCTTCTGCGTGTCTGGTGCTTGTAATGCTAGTATCTGCAGGGGTACTACTGTAAGAGGTAGCAGCTAGATGCAACCAACCACTGAAAGGGCCATGCACAGCATTAGGGGACCCCATAGATCCCAGTTGCGAAGGCCGGCACCACCCTCTACTCGTGCTCGTGGGAGCATCACGTACCTACGATGAATTCCATCCTCACTATAGGCTGATCGCGCGAATCGCTACAAAATGAGCGCGTCATCATTTGGCGTGACAAAGTCCTAGCCGTTCTCAGCAATGATCATGACCAACACACGAACAACTACGATTCAGAGGGAAGCTACTCAGGAGCTTACTTCAACTTCTGGCCCACAGCAGTGACGTCCCGCATGATAGTAACCCGTACAGGCTCGTCCAGTGTTGAGACTGAAAGCCGACGATACATTCTATGGAGTTCCGATAGTTCTAATACCAGAGGCTCCTCCCTGCTCCATCGTGCCAGTCGGGGATCCTCTCTCGAGATCTCTACTCATGTAAGTAGGATTAACAAACTGACCATAGGACTATACGACAATTCCTATTGCAATTACTACTTCCCGCGGAAATTTTTACGAATGCAAAAGTCAAATGAGCCACACCAAAAAAGTGAATGGCTTGTAGCGACTCCAACGAGACGATAGTGTGAATAGGAAAAACAATGACATGTACACACAACATTCATTGCATCGAGAAGCCACTGTTCATGCCAGAACCGCCTCTCTTTTCGAAACCATATCCATGGTGACAGTCCCCAACAGTAGAGCTTAGGCTACTATAGTCGTTTTTACTACCGGCAGTGTTGGAAAATATGCACATGGTCAACTGCGCGCGCTGGCGACAAGAAAATTCCCAGGGAATTCTCATTGGTTTCTATACAACTCTATATCACGTATAACCTTTGATGATGTAGTAAGGAAGCTCCTGATCTCAGTTGAAGGGACCAAACAAATAATGCAACACTGATTACCACTTGGGCCGAGTATCTATTCCCGTTTAGCCCTCCGTTGCACACGTAGGCCCTCCCAGGCCTTGTAGGATGCCCGAAAGCTGCAATTCGGGCTCGCTTCGGACCAATAGATGCAACATAAGACACACCTTTTGATCCGCGAGCTGGTCGAGAGGACACCACTGAATTTGTTCATAGTAGCAAGTAACTCCACTGCGCCACGAAAGTCCCTCAGGCCCTGCAGTCCCTCAAGCATTGGCACCCCGCTGTCATAAGGCCAATGGCACTCGTATTGGTGAGAGCAAAGTCATCTCAAGATTAGGTTTGAAGTTATGACGATTCAGTAAAAGCCTACAAATTACTCAAGGCTGTACAGCCATGACGATGAAGGAGCCACTCCCCATCTATGAGCTGTCGACTAGAGGTCAACAGCTCAAAGGTAGTCATTAATCATAAAAAAACATCGATCTTCTTGGTGTGTCATTAAAAGTATGGGTCGGATGTTAACGAAAAATGTGAAACATTTACCAATTGGGTGAAAAGTAAGACTTGTCGATGAAAAAAATAAATTTGACCTGGAAATGCTGTAGTTCGAACTACTACTATTACTATTACTACTACTACTACTAATACTACTAGTACGCCCTTGTACAGTAGGTTTGCTGAGTTGCTGTGTTCTCATCGACTGAACATACTCCGTTAGACAATCTCTATAAGACCGTCCATGAGAGCCTTCTTGTGAGGATACTAGTGACCAGTACCACTAGAACGGTTACTATCTTGAGCAGTGGAGGAGGGTAGGCTGCAGTCTCCAGGGATTTGCTATGTATTGGCGTCATATGGTCACACTAGTCCTTCCATGCCAGTACTCTCCATGTAGAGACTGAGATCAGTGTGAATGATTTGCCCATTGAGATAACACTACACTGGATATAATTGCACGAGAATGCCTTCCAAGGCTGCCTGTTCGTATTTAGCCGACGAAGGCTATCTGCATCATAAGCTCAGCTGCGGGAATCCTTCTGCCTAGAGAGACATCTTGTGTGCTACGGCGGACTGGGACAGCGGTAATGATGCAGCAACAGCATCTTACATCAATCATAGAAACTTTCATCAAGGGCAATGCTCTGCTGACACAAAGAAACTGCTTGTAATATAGATGTTTACGATGAATCTGGAATTCATCGTCAATTCAGAATTCCCGTGGATGTGAAAACGCGAGCAAGATTATCACAGTTGTTGGGAAGACATCCCACGATTTACCAAAGGCGCAGTAAAAAGGTGTGGGATGTAGCTGCTCTCATTTAGAAAACACGTAGTGTTGTGTGTTCGGAGGGTAAAAAGGAAATCCATCACCATACACACAAAATGGTATGGTAGTAATACTCTTGTAAGATTCAACGTTCATGCAGAGAGTCGTGGGATCTATCCCGGCACATGGCGTTTTTCTCTCATTAATTGTTTGTCGGCGTTGATGATGACGAAGTAGCACGCGTGAACAAAGCTATCTCTCATTCATTGACAGGCCTCTTAATAGCTTCCCTTATATTTTTGCTAACTATTCGATCATATACCATGACGAGATCAAGACTAGCGGAGACCTCATCGGACTCCTTCAGCTTCAACCCGGCGACCTATTTAAACCTACTTCACAATAACGGAATGCAACCCTCTCACATCGATGGAATCACTAGGTACTCTCACCATTATTTCACTACTGCGAAGATCAACATTACGGGACTTTTTTCAGTCGGCCTCGAAGCGGTTCTGACGTATCCTTGAAGTGGATGTCTGCATGTAGTATTACCATTCTACTATGAGTACTATCTTACTGTGCAGGCCACCCGTGTCGGTTGGACGAGGGCGATCTGGAGAGTATAGATCCCGACTTAGCTGCCTCGTAGGTCACTACTCGTTTGGTATGCTCCTATGCACATCCCCTCAGGCCATCTACGGTTGCCTCAGTGAGCGCCTCTCCCTCTCCCTTATACCGCCCTTCAAGCAGTAAGGGGGTTACCTTTGGAGATCAAGTGCTCGTGCGCTTCTATGAAAGCCCTGAGCCGGAGACACTGGCGGAAGGAGAGAATTCCTCAGCCGGTGTTGATGAGAATGCTCATGAGGAGCCGTACCCTGCTGGGGTTGTACTAGACACTGGTAGTATGATTATTATCTATCATCCACACGGCTTCGTACTCGATTGGTCCTGGATAAGATGTGTGATAAATGTTTGCGAACTGTTATGAATGTTTAAGAACCATTATAAACATACGAGGACAATTCCTGTTGTCACAAATCGGATTGCCATTCTAGGGTTTTTTATGTAGTTTAAGCTCAATTTGCAATGCTCTGTGGTTTCTCCCATTAGATACTGTCGTGAAGTCCTTCGATGGTCACTCGTCTAGAGTGGTCCATAGCGGAGCCTTGGTATGTGAATTTGGCGACCTCGATGAACTGAGGCAATGGGCTGCCAGTATGGGGAAGCGTCCAACCCCGAGCGCGCGGAACCGATCCAGGTAATGTGAGGTGGGCTTCGTGCCGCCTAGGGATGCTAGGAAAGGCCTTCGTTGTTACGATGTGTACTTTCGGAATCCACAGACGATATATATGCTCAAAATGAGTGGGAAGTAGGCTTTTACAATTTGTCAATTGTCATTGGGAAACTATACGCATCCAGCTCCCAGGGGGTGATCGAACGGTCGTGCTAGCTACGTTATGGCTCTACTACTGAGTATGTTGTAGGACTTGCGCTATGGACGAGATATCTCTGATGATAGAAGAGGACTCACGGCCCAGGTATGAGAGAAGAGGCGGCCGCAGGAGGTAATTTTGGGGAGGGAGTTGACCCTAATGGTAGCCATTATGGTGCAGTGGAGGGAATATAATTTACGTGGGAGGAGCTTTGAGCAGAGTATCGTACTTATTGAGAATTTGCCGACAGAAAAACTCCCATGGAAAATTTTTGTAGCAGTTGTTGCAAAGGACTTATAAGAGTTAAATAAATATTAAGTTCGTTGATTTTTCAAATAGAGTGTATCTCGGAATAGCGGATATTGTGTGGTATGTCAGTGAATACTACTAGTGCTATGCTTACTGATTCATAGTAGAGGCAAGTTGGCAGTCGAGTAGAGAAGCATTGCTTCACTTTGATGGTTTCAACTTACTCGCTTAGTGACATGAACACGGGGGATGAGATTGAGATCTACTGCTTGGTTGGAACTACCCTCTGTGACCAACAGAAGTCGGGCATTTTGTTTAGACCGTCTTATTGAATTTTCGAAGTTAAATCTGACTGACATTCTCACAAGCCTTTGTATGTGAGGGGAAGTCTCTAATGTGCATTGGAATAGAAACCTCTCACTGGAGATCCACGCTACTTTCGTACTCATATTTGGACTGTTAAACGCATACTGCTACTGGGCATACCATATGTATTTAATTGGTTCTTGATAACCTCCTTCCACTACACATGATGATTTTGTTTTACATAGGTTCTATTCTGAGCAAGGCCGCCGTCGTTCGTATTTGGATGTAAGAGACGATGATGATGATGATGAAGAGGCCCTATTGGCTAGGATGGAGGCAATGCCGTGCGATCAAGATCTGCTTTAAGTGCTCATTCTCGACTACCATAGCACACCCTGTGAGATTCCTGTTGCACGGTGAAATCGATCAGAAGGGCGTGCGCGTAGCGCATAAGACTATTTACCTATCCACCAAAGGGTTATCTCTTCCTTGATATTGTGCACGTTTGATGACCACTAGTCCTGTATTATCATCCCTATTATCTGGTCGCGCGAATTCTGTGAGGCTGGGCAGTAGAGCGAGGCTCTCATATGCCTATCTGTTCTGTTATTCGCTTGTTTCCGTTTTCTCGACAAGAAATGGAGTATGCTCCTACTGCCGTTATTTCTACAAGTATTGCTGATCGTACCGTTGTGGAGGTGACACGAATGCTTCCATCGGGGGGTCTGCCCCTGTACGATCACACAAGTGTTGATGTATGTCATATTGCTAGCACATTGTATAAGATGATCATCTGGTCGGTGCTGGTTTGGAGAGGGTTTTCGCTGTTGTGTGTTATACTTGTATGCAGAATAATACTACCATTGTGCCGATGCTACTCGCCACTCGTTGGCGTTAATCGTTCTTCACTTGTCGTTGCTACCATCTCTCCCCGTCTTCGCATGGTTGCATTTCTGTGCTAATAGTAACTTTATTCGAATTTCTCAGTGACTGGGTCCATTATAAAATACCCCATAACGATAGTGGGTTTGCAAATGTTTTTCCTCAATCAGTAGTATATAGTTATTGGTGGAAGATTTGTTTCTCCGTCCATACAACTACTGCTATTGCTATGAATGTCGATGATGATACTATGCTGTACTAGGCTGAAACTTATCCAGTGCTGTTACTGCTGTTCCATCGTCTTCTGCTAACACGGAAATATTTATTTCCCGAGTTTTCCGTGCGTCGAGAAGTGGTGACGCATCTTTGTTCTTGAGAGTTACGATGACGAGCTCAAGATACTTTTGGCAACGCGCCTCTGGGGGTGCGGCGTCTTCTGTACTATCTTTGTCATTGTTGCTTTCTTCAAGAATATGTTGAAGTTATGATTTCCTAATAGAAAATGTAGCATGGCGCATAGTTGTACCACTGGTACTCCTACATTTCTTTTCTTCTATTATTATGCAGAGTGTAATATTGGATACGGCTATATGTAGTCAGCAGCCCTGAGTGCTGACTGTTTCTATCTCTATATAGATTCTAGGTGTCTGCTAGTCATTTCTCTGTTCGTATCTTCACCTTGGTGGTGTTAGTCTGTTGTTTTTGTGGAAACGTCGTTGTAATCGTCGTTCTAGTACTCACAAGGCGCTATGCCTGCTGCTGTTGCTGCTGCTATTACTACTACCTTTACCCCGCTCTCACTGCTTTGTCTGAGGTATGCCTCTGGTGCCACCCTTGTACTCTACATGACGATAAAAGGTAGAGCTTCGAGTTGCCTAGTATACCCTATTATTGGTCATCACTCGTTTGCAGTAGCGACGCTGCCGTATCGTTTAGACAAGAGTCATTTCCGAAAGGCTCTCTTGAGTTTATGTAGTTCAACCGGGTCTCAGTGGAAAGTCTGGGGGTCTCTCAATAGAGCGTGTATACACAACAATACAGGGATGCTCCGGCCATCGACGCTGTATAAACAGATTCGGGCAAGGACTGGTAGGCATCAGGTTACAATGGTGGTGACAGTGAGTATTGGGATAGTGGAGATGGGGAGAAAGTAACAGTTCTAGTGTAGTGCAAATAGACATGGCAAGAGATCCTTGTTCCCGGCGCTGGAGAGGTCGCTCTTTGTAGGGCTGCACAGTTGAGTGTTGTACGCGTAGTCAAGCCGTTGAGTATGTGACTGAGTTGTTGATCATCGAGTGGTTTTATGCGTCTCTTTTTATTCGACTTACGAATAAGAAGAGCCGTATGTGGTAGTTTCAGAGTGATCCTCATGACCTTCCTGTCGGTGGGCCCGCACTTCCACTGCGAGCCATTGAAGCTGCAAAAATGGGAAAATGTGCATTATTAGGAGTACTGGTGTAAAAAAGTCATCAACAGCTGACACTTCTCAGGAGCAGTGTGGCAAAAGATGTACATTGTCAACTACATGTGTTGGTGACAATATGAAAATTCTGAGGATATTTTGGAGAATTCTCGTCGGTTTCTGTACAGTATTACCCGAATTCGTATATAAACTTGTATAATTAGTGGGGGAACTCTTGAGCTCAGGTGAGGAAAGCGAACATATATTCCAGCATCGGTCTGGATCTATTGATTTGTATTATATTGTTCACCATCCTAGGCATGTGTTAGTTATCGATGTTTCCGATTTTCACGAAATTCCGGTGAGTCTCCAGTATTCGGTATATAGGAGGATTTGCCATTCTCGGTGATTCCCTGTCATTAGCTACAGTGAAAATGGTACATTATAAATGGTCCCACGCACGAACTCTCTGGATTCCCGTACTTGTCCGTTATCACGTTGTTACATCGAATCGCATGATATCAGGGGATACATGACTACTACAAAATTTTCCTTTTATGTGGATCACTGCTATACCGTATCGTGATACCGGAATTTTTGCCTACATGTGGAGTGGCATCAGTGGAAGCACCAAAATGCTATGAGAGGCCCCGCCACGTAATATGAAGGAGAGTGAGGGCAAAGGCATCGACTGAGCCCCAGCACCGACTTGCAGTTCTTGACAGGAAAATCGCGTGTTGATATTCACATTCTCCTTGTTGTGTTTTCCCGGTGGCCTTTGAATAATGACTGATTCGCTTAGTTTGTTCATATGCCGTCTACACCTCACGGGTACATACGGCAAGAGTCTGACATTGAGGATCCCTCTGACAGCGACGATGAAAGTGATGTCTATGATGACGGCCCTAGTGGGGACTTTGTGGATCCCTCAATGGTGCAGAAGGACGGCTTTTGTCAACGGCTGTGTAGATGCTTGTGTCCTCGGAGGAAAGTGAAGGAGACGGGCTTCCGACTGGTCCGCACTGACGACCGACGAACTAATAGACCCATCGTTGTTGATGAAGATGGGGAAATGAAGGTAGCCTGGCCCCATGTGGTGATGCCTTGGTGAATCGGTTATTCAGTTCCTACGGAAAGTATCTAATGTTGTTGCAAGCACGAAGTACACTGTGATGTCGTTTGTGCCTATGGTGTTCGCTCAGCAGTTCAAGTTCTTCTTTAACTTTTTCTTCCTGGTTCTAGCGGTAACGCAATCATTACCGCCGCTACGGGTACGACTGCGTTTCTCACGTTGAGTGTACATGTCCCCCCAGGTTGGGCCGTTATTTACTTATATCGGACCTCTTGTATTCGTCTTGTTGTGTACTATGTTGAAGGAAGCGAGTGATGATATCAAACGGTGAGTATCTTTGTTTTAATCCCGAAATCTCCACAGTGCGGTCAAGGGAGCTTGCTGGCACTGTTCAGGTGGCGTCGTGATAAGGCAGTGAATAGCAAGAAGTATACGAGGGTCAATACGGCTGTCGGAGATCTAGAGAAAGTCGCCAGCGCTGATATTAAGGTTGGAGATGTTCTCCAGGTGAGGGAGGAATTTTATGGCGCGTGAAAAGAATTGTGGCGATAGCGATTATTTGGCGCTGTTATAGGTCCTCACCAATGAGCGGGTCCCAGCTGATATGATATTATTACGGACGGAATTTGGGGAGCAGGAGGGAAAGAACGGCCAGACGTACATACGTAAGTGGTTCCTGGACATAGACAGCAGAGTCGTATGTGATTAGAATGTGAGGATCGTATCATACTCCAAGGAGCGTTGTTCTTGACGAAAATTGGGCATCCCCCCGAAAAATGAGTAGTGTTTCGCGCTAAAACTTCAACAAGGATTACATGTAATGATGAGCTATTATATAATGAAGTAAAAGAGTGATACTCTTGACCGTTAATCGTGGGTGAACCTGTAGTTCGTGTTTAAAGCTGCGACTTGAAATACGACAAGTGCTGTTCATATCAACTGAGCCGAGCGAGTGGATTATCTATGTTTTTGCCATCACATTTTAAACCAGATGGCATGAACATCGATTTTATGAACACTGATTTCATGAACATTTATTTTATAAGCATTCATTATATGAATATTTGATTTCATTCAAAAAGTTCCAGACGGTGAGAGAATTGTTAACCATCTGAGACCCCATCTATGCATGCCACAATTTACAAACCATTCCATCGATATATTTCCAACACTTTTCAGGAACAGATCAACTCGATGGAGAGAAGGATTGGAAGCCTAGGAAGGCGCCCTCGTTGACCCAGGATCTCGAGGGATGGAGAGATCTCTGTGGCGATGTCCAGATATGCGCTAAGTAGATAAGACTATCGTCGGTCTCCTCGCGATGTAGTCTGGCATTGACTTTGTTTTTCTCTTTGATATCAATCCGCTTGATTGGTCCCGTGCGATGGTTGTCATTCTTTCTTTGTTCAGGGTGGAGGCGCCTCAGATGAGCATCTACAAATTCCTTGGTCGACTATCTCTTCGTAAACTTGGTGATAATGATGTCCAAAGTGAAGCCTTGGGCCTTGAAAACACCCTGTGGGCGAATACTGTGGTCACACACGGGCCAGTGTACGGTCTAGTAGTGTATACTGGAGTGGACAGTCGTACTGTTATGAGCTATGATGACAACGCATCTGATGATAAGACGTGTTTACTCGACAAGCAAGTCGACTTCTGTGCTAAGGTACCTTTGGAGGGTGGTGATTATCCTTTTTGTATTACCTCAACTATATCACTAGTACAATTTGCGATATGTGATTTCGAGAGGATGTTGAGGGACTGTTATAGTTGGTGTCCATCGTACTGGTGTCGTTCGATGAGACTTCAAATTGCATGGTATAGGGTATGAGTAGCTCGGATGGCTATATACCACGCGTGTGTTATTCGTCTGTCATCTCATAACGTCTCGTGCA